ATATATATACATATATATATATATATATATATATATATATGTAGTGGGTTCTTGCAACAGCGAACGAATAGGGCAAAGTCCCAGTCGCAAAGGCTGGCCAAAACGGAGGCCAAGTTCAAGGCTATATGCGATGGAGACGCTGGCGGCGTCAAGGAGACACGAAGTAAACAGGCAGCTGCCTCTCCGGCCAACCATACTCCATTTCTACTGAAGAAGAGGGGATGCAGGTCTTAATGCTTCAGAGGCACATGTATTGTATTTCTTTACCTGCCGTTCTAGTTTGTCCAGTTCGTATTTATCTATATTTGCCGGGTTCTCCGTTTCCCCCGTTATGTTAGGGCTTTCGCTAAGCAGCAACTGCTGCAGCAGACGAAAAGGAGACGAAATTTGATGGATCCAGTACTGTGTCGCAAGGGACGCACAAGGACAAACGCCGAAAGTTTTAGTTTCGCGTACATTCCTCCCAGGTCATTAGCAGCAGCAGTTGCTGCTGCAGTTGCTGAAATACGTGCGCGTTTAGCGACATGACCGCTACAGCAGCAGCAGCAGCAAAACGCAAGGCAGGAAAGCCATAAGCTCACCGACAGTTACGCGTTTTAGGACTACATATTGCTATACGGCCGCATCGAGACAATCCTCGCGACCAGTTGTTTGTCGCGGGCCGGCGGGAACGCGCATGCAGGAGGTGACTAGGGAACTTGGGTACTGGGTGTAGGAGCAACTCGCTCCTGCACTTCCAGCTGTTTTTGGTTGAAACAGGCTGTCAGCAAAGGGCAGCTGAACGGGAGCCAAAGACTGCTGAGAGCGCTTTACTGGAGTCGACAATATCTTCTGGTAGTCTACGAAACAGTGCAGCAACTGAGTCCAACATTTCAGTTTGACATCGCAGTTCCAACCCTCATGTTCGTGTTTCTCCTACTCCGTAGTTGGAGGTCGGCAGCTACAGCAGATGAAGAGCGATTTCCCCAGGCGCTCTCTGTATGCTGTTGCAGTTTCGTACAGCCCCACCTTGCCTCCACTCTTCATCACAACAGCAACTCAGCCGAAGCACTACCAACAGAGAAGTAGAGGGCGCTCTTCCTGGCTGTCTTCTCACCTAGCCCATGATACCTCAATCCATGTCCTGTGAGTTCTGCCAGGCTCTAGGCGAATCTGTTGAGGAAGCACCAGTAGTCAGCTAGCGCCTTTCGTGTACTCGTTAATGGCTATCCTGGTTCTGCTAGACTGTTTGCAGCGAGTCGCTAAGAATCGTGAGATGTCCTGCTCCATGCCCCACCGAATTCATCCCTTCCTTTCGCATCGGGCATCATCTGCTACATCCACAGCATCCCCTTCTTTGGCGAGGCAGAGTTGGAGAAGTTGTGAACACCATAACTGCTCCCCATGGGACCGCGGAAGGGTTTGTTTGTGTTGTTAGGTCCAGCTTTGATTTTTTAAGATGTGCCCGAAATATAAACGATTTTTTTGCGTAGCTAGCTGAACGTGCTAGGAAAAGGGATATATTAATCAAGTTCAAAAAACAAAGCTACTGAGGTGATGTACGATATTGTGTTTGCCGACTTTTCTACCATTGCTTGCAGTGCACATGATATTACTGTAGACAGCAAACATTTGTTTTACTCTACACAGTACGCAGTTGCATTTGCGTTCGCAACATACAGATGCATTGCAGTATACAGCGTATGGTTCTACTACTGTTTATAGTATTTACTTGCATTATTGTTTACACTATACAGTTGTATTGGTGTTTACAACACACAGTTGTATTCTTGTGTATATTATGCATTTTTGTTCGCTGTTTACAAGAAATAGTTGTACTGTTCTCTACAGTGTACAACTGCTTTACTGCTTACCATGTGCAGTTGTATTACTGTTTGCAATATCCACCTGTGTTATTGTTTACACTGAACAGTCTTTCACCTGCGTACTTAGTGTAATTATAGCGGCACCCCAATGTAGAAATGCTTGTCATCGACAAGAAGAAGATATTTGGGAGCTGGAAAACGGTTGATGTTGAGTTTTTAGGGGCCATTGATACTGACTAAGGGAAGCGACGAGATACTTGAAGAGCATGAGAATGCCGTGAAGGACTTCCTCGTTTTCCAGAAGCTGCACCGCGACTACTGCTGTGGGTACACTTATAGCTGCCTCAGCAACTGCCGGTGCTGCTGCAGCTGTTACAGTTACAAGCACAGTGCCTGCTTCTCCTGCTGCAGCGTAGACACTCCGAGTATGTTCCCGTCTCGTGCAGGAGCCACAAAAATCAGAAAGGCAGCTGCAGCTACTACAGATACTGCAGCATCAGGAGAAGCAGCTGGAGCAGGGGCGATAATAGCAGCAACTACCAGAGAGAGCACCCCGCCAGCCTGCGGCCTTACACTGCGGAATTTTCACAATGCTGGGGTTATCCACGCACTCCAGACAGTGTAACGCGCGGCTCTACAGTTTCAGGTGCTGCTCTACGCACAGCAGCAGCTTGAGTATCAACCTGCCTGGGGGATAAAACCGACGACTCTGGTTAAGACTCTCGTTACACGTTGCAGCTCGTTGCCGGCCATATTTTCCCCGCACCAACTCCAGGCCCTCGGGTCGGTGCGCCCAGGGTCCTTGGAGACTGATAGGTTTATCAACTGCTTTGGGGGAACTCTCTCAAGTAGTTTGACCCAGCTGCACATCACGAAGGTCCGTAGACTCGGGCGAGCTCTCTTTGCACTGAATGACAGGCCAACCAGCTGCGGGATTCGGATTTGCAGCTTGCCCCCATATATCTTACCTACGCGTCGTTGCAGACTGCAGTGAGGTGCACCAGCGCAGCAGTCAAGGTTTCCCAAAAAAGCAACTGGTGCCCTCCTCCAGTCTCCAAGCGTCTTGATCATAGTGGCGCAAAGGCCTGGGGACGATGTTACTAAGAGAAGGCGGTGCCAAGCCATGCGTTACTGCACGTCTTCGTGCTACAACTCGTGCAGGAAGGCAACCCCACATACGAGAATACTTGAGTTCCTCTCGAATACATGCACCAACACGGCAGCCAACAACTAAAACTGCATTCTCTATCAGGATCCAACATTTTCCGCGGGACAAATTACATATAATACTAACTTCATAAAGACTATGGGCCGCACGACAGGATCTGCGGTGATATGTGCCGATCCCGTTGATATGCAGTCCTCCTCTCTCCGCATCCACTGCTGAAGAAGGAACGAGTTTAGTTGCTTTGTTGCAAATTGAAGAAATTCAATTTGAAGGAAACAGCTTTTATAAGATATTTACGCCTGTCTTCACTAGTTTCTGTTTGTATCTGCTGCGCACAGTGTTGCTTCACTGGTTAGAGGCGGCTTGCGGGCTGCCCTCCGCCCTCCCCTCCATTTTTAGTTGATTTTAATAACTCAAATTATATATCTTTATTTTGGCTAATAGAGCAACCGTATTGGCTGTCCCTTTTTGTTCGGAGGGGGGCCCCAGACCACTGCCCAGCTGGCGGGCCTTTCAGTTTGTGCACGCGATAAATGCATGCTCTCATTTATAGATGGTTTTAGCAGTTTAGATTGAGTTGACTGTTTTGCTCTCTTTTTTGCTTCATCTCCTGACCCACGCGTTGCCACTGTCGTCCTTTGGTCGAACTAGTTGCTGGTGAAAGCAGCAGCAAACCCGTTCCCACCGCGTCGTGTACTACTCTCTTGTCTGTCTTGAGTATCTTTGCTTCTTCCGTTTTCTTTCTTTGTTTATTCTCAACTATGCTTGCTTCACCCTAGTGCCGTGTGTGGCATATCTCTTGCCCACTTAACCCGGTCTGCAGTTTCCGTTGTGGCGTCTCTGCACGTCGAGTTACCTTCTTCCTTCGTTCTTGTCTTCGAACCCTTAGAAGCCTTTCTGTCTGTGTTCTCTCCTACTGTCTATCCTGAATGCTTATTTCTCCGCTCCCTCCCGCGGGGTCAACAGATGATGTTGCCCGTCGGCTAGGGGGCATCTCTCCCCTTCCCTTCCTCCTCCTCTTCGGACTTGTCTACCCTTCGCACAGCAGCAGAGGCAGGAGTAACGACCGCATTAGCAGCTGTAGAAGCACTGTAGAACTCGAAGCTGCAGCAAAGCCCGCAGATGCACGGGGGCGAAAGCCGCCGCTCCTGTGCGTAGGTGTCTGGTGTTTGGCCCCTGGCCGTATTTGAATTATTATTTTCCTCCCCTTCCTCTTCTCACCTCACAGACAGCATATGCATGATGCGTTTTCCCCCAGTTGGAACTTTGGAGGTGCTGTGCGGGCTCAACTTCAGCAGGCAGGCCTTTCGGCTGCTGCCGCTGCTGCTGCTGCTGCTCCTGCAGGAACAGCCAGTGGCTTTTGTTGAGGGTGGTGGAACATCTATAACTTCTGTAGCCGTTGGTGGAAGTCATCCGGGGGCGCACAATGCGGTGTCTGGGAACCTTGGCGGGGGCGCGACGGTGAACGGCGATGGCTGGGGTCCCAGTAACGAACTGGGGATCTCATTTCGCAGTTACCGCANGACGCAGGTGGTCTGTAAGCAGCACTTCTGCACTGACTGCTGTTGTTGCTGTTGCTGCTGCGTTGGGTGTCGTGTTCCTGCTGCTGTCCTGCGGATTCGCCATCTCGCGCAACGCCAAGGCCACCCAAGTGTGGGGCAGTCGCCGGCGCCTTTCATCCAGAGAGGCTGAAGGACCTTGTGAACAAACTGCATCCGGAGCAGCAGAAACATCAGCAGGTGGTGAAGGTGCAGCAGCAGCAGCAGATGGAGAAGGTGCAGCAGCAGCAGCAGATGGAGAAGATACAGCAGCAGCAGCTGTTGGAGGTGCAGCAGCAGCAGATGGAGGTGGAGTAACAGCAGCAGATGAAGAAGGTGCAGCAGCAGCAGCTGATGGAGGAGATGCAGGAGCACCTGCAACCGACGTAGCCAGGGGCCAGGAAGTTTCCACTTCCCCAACAGAATCTACTCTCGATCCAATGGCCGCTCCGTTCATTCCTAGAGGCGTCGGTTATGCAGCTGGAGGCGCTGGCGAAGGGGGCAGAGCAGCAGGTGGAGACCCTGCGGCTTCCGCCGTTTCTTCTTTGGAGGCGACTGCGTCCGGAATAGCCGAAGGAACCGCAGCAGGAGCACCAGCAGCAGGAGAGGCAGCTGCAGCAGTAGGAGAGCCAGCAGCAGTGCAAGCTGGAGGATTGCCTGAGGCGACAAGGGGGCGTGGGGAAGAGCTGCCGCCTCGGCTGTGGGAAGCCGGCGTGGAGAGGGCAGTAGGACACTTTCCTTTTTTGGGCACCTTTGTGACTCGCGTTAGAGAGCTTGCGGATTACTTTCGGGTTCACTCAGGCTACCTTTCGCGGCATCATGCACAGCTTGTAGGGAAGCAGCTGTTGCGGCACTGTTTAGTCGAGCTTGCTGCAGTAGCGCCTCTCCTCTGCACGGAAGAGGGTAGGCTGTGGGATGGGGCCGTAAGGGCGCTCCTCCGTCTTGGTGCGGATTTGGGTGGCCGCTACGAGAGGTCGCTACAGAAGGCTACTGCCTTGGACTGTCTTCTGCGTGCGTTGCACCAACTGCGGCGAGAAAATGGCGTCGATATCCCTCGTGTTGCGATTCACGCCAGAGTGCAAGTATCAAAGCAGATTCTTCCTGCAGCAGGTGCAGCTCTGCGGCGTATGGCCACTGCTATAAATACGCTGCTACAGAGCCTCCAAGGCAACCCACTTTCAGTTCCCCCCAGTATCGCAACGACCCAGGCCGCTGTTATGGATGCAGTTACCGAGGAGAGGCTGCTGCAGCTGTTGGTTGACAACGATATTTCGTATGTGCTGGCACAACTGCAAGGCTCCTGCTGCCACCCCGGAACCATATTCGACCAAGCCCATGTTGCACGTTCTCAGAAGAAGTATTACCCGGATTATGCGCACCCAAAGGCCCACAATATCGACTTAGCAGCAGAGGCAGCAGCGGCGAAAGCAGCAGCAGCAGCGAAGGCGCTCGTGCATCCGGTAACAGCAATAGCTGGCGATTCTGCCCCCGATGCACCAGAATCCGAAGAAGAAATTGCGGCAGCGGTTTCAGAGGGAGAGACCGCGCTTGGGCAGCTCACTGGGACGGGGCCGGAGCAGGAACAGGGCGAGCAGCAGCTGCCACAGCCACAGCATTCTGTACTGGAGCGGCAACTGCTGCAACCGGGTGCTCCAGCACAGGGGGGGGGATTGAAGGAGGAGGAGGCTTTAAGATTTGGCCTCGCTTTGCCGCCCTTTCCTCCATATCCCCACCCCATGTTCGTCCCTGTTCTTGCGCCTGGCTCGCCTGCCCTTCAGCGGCTGCCCTCTACAGTAGCTAAGAGTTCTTTCTTTCCGCAGCCGCGTCTTCAGGTGGGGCACCAGCAGCAGCAACAGCACTGGGGACCCTACCCCCGGCAACAGCAGGGAGCGCAAGTTTCAAGGTATCCGCTGCAACAACAGCCGCAGCATGAGGTTGCCTGGGGTCCCTTCCTGCAGCAGCAGCAGCAGTCGTCATGGCGATCGGAGCAATTCCCGCTGCAACAGCAGCGCCTGCTACTTTGGTGGCCCCTCCAGCAGCACCCGCGGCCTTGGAAGCCCTCCCATGATCACCAACGACCCACGAGGCCTTGGGTGCCCTTCCCTCCGCAGCAGCAACACGCGTCGCCTGTGTGGCCCACTCCTCAGCAAGAGCAGCAGATGCAGACATGGGTGCCCTTCTTTGAGCAGCGCCAGCGCGCGGGACGGCATGGGCCCTTCCTTCAACAGCTGGATGTGGAACCCTTGGGATCGTTTCCTCAGCAGCAGGAGCAAAGATATGGTCAGGAGGCCTTCCCTCAACAGCAACAGGGAGGAGAACATTGGGGGCCGTCCCCACCGAAACAGGAACCAGGGGAACTTTCGGGCCCCTTTCCTCAGCAACCCTCGCCAGGGAAGCATTTTGGCCCTGCGCTGCCTCAGCAGGAGCTGGAACTTTTGACGTACGCTGCGGGGTCTGACGCGGCCGAGGAAGGTTCGGACCTTTCCGTAGGATTGTCTGGGGCCGCTGCATACGTTGCCTCTCTCCTTTCCGACAGCAGCTCCGATGAGTTGGATCCGCATGAACAAGAGACAGGCAAAGGCAGTGACAGTCCTGACAATGCAGGAGAGAGGGGATTGCTTCCAGCAGCCGATTTCAGCGCGCCAGCCATATTGTTAGTGCCAGGCAACACGCCGGGTCACGGCGCGCATCTGCCGCCGCAGCAAGAGCAGCAAGAGCAAGAGCTCCAGGGTGTTTCTGGCGTGTTTCAGAGCACGGATTACACCGTACCGACAGCACCATACGGGCAAACAGGTGATAACTATGCGCAGCTGCCGTCGCAGGAGCGAGAGCCGCAGCCAGTTTCTGGTGCTGCTTGGGTTTGGCCGGACGTCACGAACAACATCCGAGAGGACATTTTTCGAGGATCCTTTGGTGCGACTCCACATTCAGCACAAAGCCACGCTTCAGCTGGAGCTACACCTCAGACACTGCAGCGGACTCCCGCAGGTAACCACCTCTATGCCGACGCTGTGAAGAGTGGATCCCAGCGCAAACCGGAGAGCTCATCGGGTAAATAATAAGGACAAACTAGGTGGAATGTGACAAGTGAAAAGAGACAATTAGTGGGACGGAGCCAGGAGGAGACAAAGCACCCACGGACTTGCCACAAACTTCGAAGCGGGGAGGTAGGAAGAAGCATACTGACTTGGTTACAGGCAAGAATATGGCTACAATAAAGACAAAATGAAACGCACAGAGCTCCAAGCGCAGCAAAGACTGGCGAGAGCAGAGGCCGAGTCGGGGCCTACGTACGATGAATGTAGCAGGGGTGTCAGGACGACACGAAGGAAACATTTAGTTATCTCATCGTTCCATCTGTGGTCTACTGAAAGGGATGCGTTGCAGGTCTTGGGACGCATTTCTTGTGTTTGTTTGTTTGCCTCGCTTCTCGCCCCGTTTGTGTACATTGGCCTTTGTTGGAGCATCGCTTGTATAGCGAAACCCCCAAAATGGAGGGAAACACGGAGTAAATTGCAAAGGAGGAGCCAAAATGGCAACAGTAGGATTGTTGTGCCAGAAGCAGACAAAAACAGGCACCAAAATTTTTTTTCTTGCCTTTGTTCCTCTCAGGTCATTAGTAGTAGCAGCGGCTGCTGCAACATCTGAAATGTGCGCAAATTTAGCCGAAGTGAGTGCTGCAGCACCAGCAGCAAGGACGGCTGGAGGGCTTTCAGCCACTACTAACAGTTGCATTTAACGAAGTTGCAGTCTCCGTTGTCGTGTGGCTTTGTGGAGACAGCAGCGCGCTCAGTTGTCCGTCAACTCACCGCATCCACGTGCACGGGGGCTCTATGGAGCTTGCGGAGTGAGTGTAGGAGCGACACGTTGCTCCAATTACAGCTGGTTCTGGCTTAAGCGTGCCAGCAGCAAAACGCAGGTGAACGGGAGGCCAGGGACTGCTGAAGGCTGCCTACGGGGGCAGGCAAACGTTTTTCGGCACCAGAGGAGACAATGCAGCAATTGAGCTCAGCATAGTTTGACACCTCATCTGAGACAATTTTATATATATTTGTCTCCTTCCGTGACAGATCGATACGCACAGTTTCTCCTTGCATGGTGCTGCAAGCAGTCCTAGCTTTGCTCCATATGCCGCCCGACTGGTAACAGAGTAGTAGTTCGGGAGACAGAAGTATTCAGCTAGCGCTTTTCATATACCTGTTAGTAACAAGAAGGTGTAAAGTAGACTGTATTTAGCCAACTATCTAACTACCTAGGGATGAAGGGTGCTATTTGTTGCCCCGCTAAATTCCTTCTCTGACTCTGTCTCTTCAAAAAGGCAGTGACCGCCCGTGATGGAAAGCGACAGCAAAGAAGTCGTAAATTGCATAACATTTTCCCAGAGTGGCCACTTAAGGGTTTGGTTGTGTCGTGCGACCCATGTTAGATTTTTTTCGAGCTGCGCCGATAATGTGAACTTTGTCGTTGAGCAGGGCGCCGAGCGGATTTGCGGGGGCGGCTACGCTAAGGCTAGTGAACAAAGTTGAGGAGCAGATGAGTGGGATCGTGTTTGTTGCCTTTTTCCTGCTACTGTTTAAACTATGCAGTTGTTTGCCGGCCACTGTGTGTGCCGCACTAGAGGCTTGGACGTCCTGATTCGTTGCGCTTGGCAGCTGCTCACGGCAAGGGAGTGCTGTAATTCAAGACGGTTATGAGAAAGACACCACCTTTTGGTGTTTTATGTGTGTCAATGCGAACCAGTAGGCAAGTGGGGTGCAAGACACCAGGAACAAATTTCCACTGCAACAAATTCCAGCTCGGTTTCCTGCATGATTCGGCCACAAACAGGCGATAAAATATCAGGGGCCTCAATATTATTTCTCCGACGGATTGAATGCGTGTAAAGCTGTAGTAGAAAACCAGAAGATAACCCGTTTTTGTCTGGCTTTCCCACAAACGTGAAATCCGGCCAAGCCTGGTCCAGCTTGCTGCGGAGGCAAAAAATGCCACATAAATCCCCAGCTTTCTGCCCTTTATATTTCTTTTGCCCCTTAAAAGTGAAGAACAACAAACTGGGGAAATCGGCTGAGGCGACGTTATTCCAACCCGGTTCTCTGGCCCTTCTGTGTGCGCCGCCAGTCAGTTCATGAACAGCGGACTGTGTCGGTCAAGCTGCGCAGCTAAAGCTGAATTTACTGTCTTTTCCGTCTCGTTCATTGATTTACACTAAAGAAATCGGGTTGAACGGGGAATGGAGGCAGGGAAAACGATTTCTGTGTCTCGGGATCGTCTCCGATCCCAGAGAGAGGAAGGCATCAGCAGCAGAAGCGAGACCAACCGCCATATATCGGATATCACTCGTTTTATTCCTTGCGTCCGGATTTCCCTTTTCTCGTATTTATCTGCATCTTTTTAGGACGCGAAGGGCGACCAGACACCTGATTCTCCCTGCTTTGTCCTTTGCACGCGTTTGCGTGCAACTTTGCATGCATGAAGGGATGTAGTAGCTTCAAGAGCCCCGATTCTGTTCCTTCAGCATGGAATTTAGAAGCCTTTCCTGGGACTCAGGGTTCCTGGGCTGGAAGAGGCACGAGAAGGGGTCCGATCCCACTGCTAGAGGGGCTTCTCTTCCATCAGAGCATCTCTTTTGCTGCAGTACACTCGCGAGCAGTGCCAGTGCAAACACCAGTTGCCTATCCAAGTCATTTTCGGGATCTACGCACCATTCACTGGCTAGCTCGTGCAGTACCTCCATCTCCTCCGTATTCACCAGCCCATGGCGCTCCTCCAGCTGCAGCAGCAGCAGCACCCGTAGTAGCACAAACAATAACAACTGCAGCACCAAAATCAGCAGCGCCAACAGCCATACCGCCAGCTACAGCGCGGAAAAGGAACGGAGAGGAAATGTGATTGCACAGCAACTCGCTCTGTTCTGTTTAGGCGTCTCCTGCGGACTCCCTTGGAACTGCGTTGTTGTACAGATGACAGATTTCCAGCATTTCTACCTCCCCACATTCCCCTGGGTCTCTACCGCCACAGAAGTGAGGCATCTTTCTTCCGTTGGTGTGATGCTGATGTACCAGTTTATCAAACTGTCTACACCTGCATGACTGCCAGCTTGCTAGGTAGCTAACAATGCAGCTAGCCACGCAGGTATCTAGGCAGCTACCGAACATTGTTTTCTAGTGCCTTACTAGCACCAAGTGAATGCCAGATGAGGTCCGAGAGACAGAGGTGCTTTTCGCTTCTCTGTTCGCATGTTGCATGCTGTCTTCGTCTCTGTTCCCTACGATCTCGGTTCTCTGTTTTCATCCTTCTCTCTTTCTGCTCGTCTCCATTATCGCTGCCATCCCCACGGCCTGTCATTTATTGACAATCCTTGCGCTTAGATGTATACAGCTAGAACAGGCAACGCGAATACAATTCCGTCTCAGGAACAGCAAGCAGACAAAACGTATTGCTGTTCTGCTCTTCTGTCTCTGTTGCTTTGGCTTTTCAGGTGCGAACTTGCAGTTTGTTCTTGGGCCACTTGCTGCTTTGTCTTTTGTCACTGCATCATTCCCCTGTTTGGCTGTCCGTGGGTGGAAGTGTTGTTTCTGCATTATGTTGCTTGCTGCTTTCTCTTGTTGCCCCGTCAGCTGTCCGTACACCGGCTATCGGGAGCCTTGAGGAGAATCTGGGTTCCCCCTCATCCCCTTCTTCTGAGGGCCTGGCGTTCGCATTTAGTTGCGTCTTGTTGGGGATTTCGAGCTTTTGTTGCTGCGGTATGCGATCTGGGCTGTACATACAGCAGGCGTTGACGCACAAGTCCTTCGTTCCTTCTTGGGTTTTTGGAATGGCAGTGGGAGGCCCCCTAACTGCTCTCGCTGCGCTGAGTCTCCACTGGCCCATGCATGCCGCCCCTCCGCAGCGCAAGACGCAAATCCTGATGGGAGCGTCTTTCCTTTGGCTGCTATTTTCAGCTGCCCTTTTCGCCTATGCCCTCGGTAAACCCAAACCAAGCGAAAAACAAAGACCTACACTGCATTTGCATCACCAGCCGCAGCAGCACCCGAAGCCAATGACCATAATGCTGCATGGAGACTTCGACTTCCCAGAAACACCAACAGTAGCGCAACAACGAGAGCGTCCAAAGCAGCACCAGCTACCAGAGGAAGGCTGCTCTGACGGGGCGAAGGACAGCAACTGCTGCAGACCCACGGACGAGACAACTGGGTTGCTCCACGACTTGGAGCGGCATAACCCAGGCAGCAGCAGCAGCAGTGGGAAGTGTCCTGAATATGTGGCTGAGGATTTGAATATGCGGTGGGGATTGCTGCAGCAGTTTGGGGTGTATGCGTTTGTCTTTGGTCGTTACCGAAGAAGTTTGCTGTGCACCTTCTTTTTGTCTTTTTCTACCTTTATTATATACCCCATTAAAATGCAGTGCATGCTCCCCTGCAGCAGCACAGACCCCGCACTGTTCCAGTTGCTGCTAATCGTCATTTACCATCTAGGAGTTGTCGCAGGCCGCTGCTGCTGCTGCTGTTGCTGCCGCTTCTCTTCCTCCAGCCAAAGGCTAATACCAGCAGTGCTGCTGCTGCGCCTCGCGCTGTTGCCGCTGCTTTTTTGGCTGGAGGCTTCCCCAGCGAAGCTGCTGCCGGTGCTTCGAGCAGCAACCGCAGCAATTGCACCAGCGGGAGGAACGGGTTTAAGAGGAGCAGCAGCAGCAGCACGTGCTCAGTTGCCGCTGCGGCACGACCATGTAGCAGCAGCTGCTGGACTTGCTGCTGGTGAGCAGAAGCATAACGAGGAGCTGTTGCTGTTGCTGGTGGATGTGAGTCGTTGCCTGTGGCTGTTTGTATTTGCTGCCGTTCACGGCTGTCTGTCCCTAACAGGAACCCTCTACACCACACGTACACCAGAGACATACGCTCACAAAGCAGCAGCAGCGCGTCTGGTGTGTCTTTTCGAAAGCACCGGCCTGGCTGTGGGCACGGCACTCTCCGTAGCCTTCTCGCCTCCGCTTCAGGACCTCCACGGCTGGAAGCAAGCGGCTGCAACGACATTGACTCATCTCGCGTGAAGGCAGCAGCAGCTAGGGCGGCGCTTGCGACCAGTGCAGATGCACCAGTAGCGGCAGCAGTGTCAACAGCAACAACAGCAGCAGCAGCAACGGCAGCCAGCAAACGCAGGAGGAGCAATATAGGAACAGCAGTTGCCAACTTAACCGACGGTTGCAGTTGAATCTGTTCTGGCGATATACATATATATATATATATATATATATATATATATATATATATATATATATATATATATATATATATATATGCTAATTGCAATGGAATTCCAATGCAACTGTCTCATCTATTACCTGCTAGTGCAGGGCTCCGCAATTGCTTAGGTTGTATAATGAAGACATAAGAGGAAAGTTTATTTGTTTTGTCCTTTGTCTAACGGACAAAGGACATGTAAGTCTAAGAAGGAGACAGTGTCTTCTGTCTGTCTGTCTCTATCTCCTTCCCTTTTACATGTATATTTGTTTCGTTTCTGTTAGTTGCTTCCTTGCTTCTTTTCGTCCACTTGTCTATCAAATGCAGCGTTTCCCTTCGGTTTAAGTGGTCGTGGCTTTCTTCTCAAGCTCCAGGGTTCTTCTGCTTGTATGCCAAGTAGTCGTTCTTCACAAACAAACAAATAAACAACAGACACATATTTAAACGAATATATAAATGCTCTGCGAAAACTGCTAGCGAGACAACAAAGGCACTCATGGAACAGACGAACTGAACGCGCAACACAAACAAGTTGCAACGTACAGGGAACATGAAAGGAGCAGGACAGAGAGCACGCCAACCCCTCCGCACAAACCATATGCAGTTGCAGCTCAGCAGCAGAAGCAGTAGCAACTGTCCATACATAAGCAACAATATACAGCAACGATAGCAGCAGCAGCAGTGTAAGGATCAGGGGAGAGCGCATTTGTTTACCTTGAGGCAGGGGCTTTCCAGGATATCTCTTGCACTGGGTCTCATTGCCGGGTCCTTGTTCAGCATTTTGTCGCAGATTGTCCGGAGCTCAACAGAGTAGCGATCAGGGATTTTGGGCGCCTAAAGGGAAAGTTCCAGACTATTTGTTCTTCATAACTCACGTTTGCCCCCCGTCATACGGCTTCCTCGTCACTTATTTACTGTTTGTTGTTTGTCCGTACCACGAGACCGGGCTTGATAGCAAACACTCGACTAATTCTTTGGTGCTATGTTTTATACCCGTATATACTGGCTAGTTGATGAGGGTGGGGGCGCATTAACGAACAAATGAAGGATAGACAAACGCATGGACGCAGATCTTACCGGAGCGTTGCAGATGTTTCTGTTGAGTTCAGGAAAACTCAGGCCCCTGAAAGGTAGTTCGAAAGTTGCCGCTTCTATCATTATGCACCCCAACGCCCAAATATCTGCTGCAGAGGAATAAGGCTTCCCCTGGAGTAGTCGCAAACAAGGACAACCGCGGCAGCACCATAAGCAGTAGCAGTGGCAGCATCAAGCCCAGCAGTAGCAGCAGTGGGGCAGGTAACGACAGTAGTAGCTGTAGGAACAGCAGGAGCAGCAGCATCAACAACAAGAGCAGCAACGGCGACCGGCGCACCTTGCAGAGTTCAGGGGCCATAAATGCTGGAGTCCCGCACTGCGTCTTTGCCTGTTGCAACGTAAACTCCAATATTTTCGACAAGCCCAAATCACCGACTCGAATGTAGTTACTTTCGTCTAGAAATACATTGGCAGGCTTCAGGTCTGCAGGGAGCAACAACGCCTCGGCGATGAACTTAAACAATGAGCAACAGATGCAGTTACAACAGGAAAGATGCGAAATATGGGGGGCAGAAGCTGTAGATGCTTCCCTGCACCAAGTTGAACATTTTTGCATGCTTTGCAAATTTGTCTTAGACAGAACGAAAACAGAAGGACCCAAATGACACGCGGAACAATTACCTCTGTGCAGTATTTTGTGTTTGTGCATGTAGTCAAGAGCAATAGACAGCTGCAGCAGCCAGGTCCGAAGAGTCACTTCACTAAAGTATTTGCGCTGGCGTTTCCTCTCTCGAATCAGCTTGGCCATATCCCCCCCTTCAAGCATACACAGCAAATCCAACGTAGCTCAACCCCTAAACCCTAAACACGAATCATTGTGTACTTTGCGTTCAGCACAGACCCCGTCGTTCTGAAACCCAAACCCTCTTGCCTAATCGCGAATCACTGAACGCTAAGCCCTAGATGTATCTTACCCTCGCAGAAGTCCATGACGATGCATAAGTGGGGGTATCCGTGGTAAGTGTCGTTGAATGCGTTTCTATAATGAACAATGAAAGGAGCATCCACCAGTTTAGACAAGACCTATGCGACAAAGCGGGAAAAAACAAACAAGTGAACGCTACACAAGGTAAACAGCCATGGAAGCCAAGACATCAACACCTTGATGGTAATGCTTGCAACTCTATTTCCAGTTGTAGGACTCCCCATCATTTTCTATCTGTATTTTTCCAAATGTTTATTCGTGATCGTTTGCTCCTGAGTATTTGTTCGTTTCCATGTGTGTGTGTGTGTGTGTGTGTGTGTGTGTGTGTGTGTGTGTGTGTGTGTGTGTGTGTGTGTGTGTGTATGTGTGCGTGGGCGGGCTTGTGGGTGGCCGGGTGGTTGGGTGGGAGGGTGTGCGCGTATAACTTTGTTTGCCTCCGCAGACGTGGTTTTGTGTCTGTAGGCGGTTGACATACGTAGAAACAAACGAGAAAAAAATTGCAAGAGAAATGGAAAGACGTAACGAGCAGGTTCAGGGTTGCTGTCTAACCAGAAACTAAGCCCTACTAACCCAATACTCAAGACTTTAAACACTTCTACGTAGATGACGGTACCTGAATTTCTCTTTTAGCCTCTTCGATATCTTCTTTGTTCATTTGTCGGGTATTGATGAGCTTCATGATAAGCCTGCGGATATGTACACACACATTTAAGGCGTACTCACACTGCAATCTGTTTGAACAATAACAATCAACAGCAGAAAAAATAAACTCACTTTCTTCCGGCCTTGTCTCTCACCAATACTGCCTTGCCGAAAGAGCCGCTACCAACGACCGACACGATTTCGTATTCGCCGACGCGTTCCATCCTCAGAAGGACCTGAAAGAATTGAATGAAAGTTTGACAATATATACACACAGACAAAATAAGCTGTTTATCCGCGTTCTCCAGGTCGTAGACGTGTTCCACCCTCTCGTGCTACATCCTCAAATAGACGATATTCTCTCTGCAACGCAGCAGTGAGCGTTTCCAGTTGGCTATATGCGCCTCGTCTGCTAGGTTTGTCCACAGGCTCGATGCGAATACGAATAAGATTTTCTCCCCTTTAGGGTTTGTCGGGTGCTCTGGTGCCTTTTTTCTTCTGAGATTACGTTCCTTGAGCAGTGCACGGAGGAAATGTTAAATACTTTGGAGAGAAGAGGGAGAGGAGCTACAGAGAGCGAAATACCCACCGTAAACAACCGAATAGTCAGAATTAAGTAGATAAATGCCTTTTTAGCGAGATTTCGCTATTATTTTCCCCCAAGTCGACCGTTCAACAGTGCCGTCAACCGCGGTGACTGGACTTGCTGGGACCTGCTGAGCTGTGGGGAGTAGAAACCCTACAGAAAGGGAATATCGTAACTATTGAGAATGAAGGCTGAACCTGCTTATATTAATTTTACTAAACTGAACTTGATTACGTTTTTGCAAACCTTTAGTTCACATAACACAGCAACGCCTGCCCGCGCAAGCAGACACACGCATGAGTGGTACGGTTCGTCCATCAACGGGCAGCGCCTATCTCCATTGATTCATGGGCCCAACGCCCTCGACACGAATTTAGCGAAACTTGAACTGGAAATATCAGGTTATCTGCACTTATTTCCTCAACTAGAAAATTTGGCGGCAATTTCAACATTCACTTCACCGCCGATCACCCACGACGAGTGAACAGTCACTGACCAGCGTGCACACAGCAGGCAACTTCCTCCAGAAAGTGCCCCCTCCCCGCCCTGAAATAGAGCGACTGTATGAATCAGAAGTTACCGAGCTAATTTGAGTAAATATAATATGCTAAAGCTTCGCTTCCCTGCTTCCCTAACTACGGCGCCGTCGTGGGCGTTCCTCCTGCTGATTGTCTGCTATACCGGAAAAGCTCTAGGGAAGTAACTCGATCGGGAACTCAAGTTTTTTCGTTTGCTTAACGCATTTCTGCTTTGATAAAAAAACGTTTTTGTACGTTTTTGGGGTAGAAAAGGACAGTCCAGGGGAAGCACCTGGAAGCTTGCCCTGGTCTGCCCGCCTACGGTCTTCCTCCTATCATTTCCCCCAAGTTTGGCGGAAGATGAAGTAGGAAATCCTCTTAAACCAGAAGAACCGCGTTGATGCATCCGTCTAGCTCGGGGTTGTTGGTGACTTGTGCGTATTTGGCTGCACATCGGCACAAAGCCCAGAAACCACAATCGTGATGCGCTAAATGATACGCACAGCATTGAATTTCACCAAAAGCTGCAAAGAATTTCGAGCTTAGGGTTTGGGGCTACATAGGGGGCAAACAAATAAACAACGTCGAAGGAAGAAGCAGCAAAACAATAAGTGGAGCGGTGATGGCCTTATGAAAGTTCGCATAAGACTCACCCCAAACTACTTTGCCTGTCTGCGTCACCAATCCCAACTCGCTAACGTTCACCTCTATGATGGTACCTGCGCATACACCCCAAGCATGCAGCAGCACGTCGCTGCTATTTATCTTGCTTGTTCGCCTCTTCGTCTGTTTTTTGCCTTCCTGATGGTAATAAGTTTCTACACAAGACCCCTGAAAGCCAATATGAGAAGCATCTACTGCAAAATGGGGAAAAAGCGGTCGACTGTTAATTACAATTTAAATGCATTTCAAGTTCAATATGCGTGCGTACCTTTGGTGATAACCCCAAGGGAGGTGTAAAGCTGAGACTGGGGATTTTTCTTGACTTTCACGATGTCTAACTGAAATGTTGCCTTCAATTCTGGGTGCGTCACATGCGCCTTCTTAAATCGCAAACCCGTTGGACGGATATATCGTTCAAACTTCGGCGGTTTTCTCGTGAAGTCCTCCCCCACGAAACACACCTTGTTTATCACGCGCTTCCACATCTTCTCTGCAGCAATATGCAAATAAATAAACGAAGCATTTAGTCGATATGTGTGCACAATAAAATATAATGCAATGCTCTCTGCAGCAATATGCCAATGAATAAACGACGCATTTAGTCTATCTGTGTGCACAATATAATATAATGCAATGCATACTGTAGTACTATCTTCTTTAGCAGTTTTCGACACAATTCCGTCCGACCCGCCTCCCCATTAGCAGCAACTCTACACTACAAATTGCTCTAGATAATGCATTCTGTACACATGCTTGAGCTTACAGCTCCGATTACTGTTAATGTTTCAAACATGTTTACGTCCGTGTGCCGCATTATGTCTAGTTGTGTTTTCTGGGGTCGTTTTGGGTTTTCTCTTACTCTTCCTCTTCCCTGTTCGGAGTACTTTAAACATTTCTTCTTCGGTCATGGCTTTGACCTTGGGAATGGGCACTTGCCACTTTCCGGCTTTTTCTTTTCTCTTCTGTTTAATCATATTTGTCAGCAGCTTAGTTCGCGAAACACCTTCTCTGTCCAACAAGTAAGAAGGAACTGCGCCTTCCGGCACGGTCTCCGGCTCCTTCTGCTTGCCTTCTTTCTCCTCATGTTGTTTTATGGTTTTCTTCATCTGAGCCTTCTCTACAAAACGCTTCCTGTTGAATATCTTTGCCTTTATTCCCCGTAGTTTACGCGCTGTCTTTGATCGCTCGTGAGGCATACGTGCGGCCTTCTTCCGCCTGTTCACAACAGCAGCACAAGCGAGAAGTACTAACAGTTCGCGATATTATCGCATATACATCAGTTATACAACACAGTAATATGCACAACCCAATGTACAAGGGGAAAAACCTGCTGCCACCTGCAAATTAGCAAAAAAAAAAAACTCGAATGGGAGACGAGCCAATATTTGGCCCCGTGAGTTATCGCTTGCTATATAAATCTGTCCCCATTTAAAAATTGTTTTCTTCATCATCATTCTCATTTGTTTCTTTCGATCGACATTCTCAGTATCGCGGGGCTCACTTGCGTTCGGCGGCATCCAGACGCTCGCCGAAGCGTTTACGGTGCTGCTCCATATATTCGTTCTGCGGCATTTTGTCAAGCCTTTCGAAACTTTACTTGGGGAAACCCTTTTTCAGTTCGAAATCGGCGAAAATGGCGCCAGAAGAGGGCAGAACTGCCCGCCTGTTGACGGAAGCACGAGAAGAACGAAACTGAGAAGAGACGGCACCGCAACCTAACTGCTAGGTGCGCATAAGACTGTGACTGTCCTTTAGGAAATCACAGAATACTAGGGAAACCGTTCATAATAGCATACTTATACCAACTTTACCAACCCTTCACAGCAGGCCGAAGCTCTGCTGCCCGGGTCCTGGAGTGCTGCGGGAAGAACAGCCCGACAAGAAACGGAGAAAATGCCCAGAATGAGCAACTCCCCACCTCCCCTCCAAGTAACAATTCACCGAAAAAGGTGTAATTGCAAAACGTGATATTGCAAGCGACGGCAGGGCCTACTAGGAGCAGAAAAAGCTGTGCATGCAACAAAGCCCCAGCAGCATGGGGCCCTAGTTCCTGAAACGGAAGGCGGAAAATGATTACCTAGATCGTCGAAATCTGCTGAGTCAGTTTCCTCCTACCGCGGATGTATAAACATATAAAGAACCTCTTAAAACCAAGGTGAACAACTTTCTAATCGAACAGCTTATCTAATTGTTCTATTAAGATATTGAATGTGTCGCCTCCACCTAATAGCAGCGCTTAGCAGCGAGTTGTAGGAGAGCTCAGCCGTAGCCTCAGGCAATGGTGAGCTGTAGTAGGTTCAAACCAGTCTAGATAAGCAACTTTCGCTTCGCACCATCAACCGCAGTCCTTTCTGCCTATGTTCCCAATATGCTTGGAGACGGGAGCGGTGGTTGCGAGCTATTTCGGGGGAACTTCCAAGTCTTCTGACCGTTGAAGCTTACTACGGTCTTCCGCTGAGGAGACCCCATGCAAACACCCTACGACAGAACTAGCAGGGGAAGGGATCTGCGTATCTCTACGTCGAAAACGTTCTGCACCTAATGGACGCAGCAAAAGCGTAGGTCCTAATCAGTGTTTATTATTACTACTTCGAGAAGTGAAAGGCAGAGCCTGAGGAGAAGTCTCTAGATATAGTGCATCTGCGCTAGATGGGGCCATCTCACGACCAAACGTGTTTAAGTGCCTCTCCCTCGAGCATGCAGTGCTACTAAGCGTCACGACAATCCTGAGCGTTAGCCCACGACGGTGAGGAGGTGCAGTAGTGTCAAACCACTTAAACTAAGAGTTCCCCAAAGCGCAGCTGACCCTTCCCTCGTGTCTCCACTGGTCCTGAACACAGCGGCGCAGGGTCCTGGGGGCTGGCGGGAAGAGGAGGGCCTCTCGTGGGTTGCCGCACTCTCTGCTGCAACTCTGGTTGCAAGGCAACCCCCAGGTGCAAGCATAACCAAGACCCCTTTCGATGCATGCACGAACTTCCTAAACAGTTGTTAAGCACTTCTTCCTCATCCAGTAACCAACATACGCACAAACATGGATGCAAGCACCTTCTACGAGACCCTGCTAAAGGTCGACTGCCTTGATTTAACACAGAAGGCAGCCCATGCCGAAGCCGCGCAGCTTTCGGGTTGAAATTGAAAGATAAGACAAAAACAATAACGCGGTAACACGAAAGTATGGTTACCAATTGTTTCTGTCAACATATCCACTTCCCCCTGTGTATGTGCTGTATGCTCATTCGCGCCGATCGCGACCACATGAACTGACAAAAGGCGAAAAGGCCAGTTATTTGTCTCTTTACAAAAATGAATCGGAACAAATAGAAGAAATGAATTGACGAACAAATTGCGACGACATCCCCTCTTTTCGGAAACAACTGCCCACAGGTCCACTTTATGCTTGCGTTGTTTGTGGGAAACTGTAGACGCATGCAATTCACTATATATTATGTCAGTCCTAAAAACATATAATATATACACATCGCATACATCCACTGTCTTCGAACATGCATGCATGCATGGAGCTACACGGGCAGTCCTGCACCCTCGCCGGAGCAGGGCCCATTGTGCAAAGCCGAAAGGAACAGCCTCCGGGTACCAAAACCTAAAATGAAACCCTAATTTGCGGTTTAATCATCAAGTGCGATATGCGTCAGGTTAACGCAAAGCGGATTTGCGCAGGCCATCGTAAACGCCTTCTTCGGTTTTTCCTGCAACTCGTTGAAACTTTCCTCGTCTGCAAACAGAACCATATGCGCAAGTGTTTCCGTAACGTTCACCTCTATCACTGTGTTGCAGCATATGCGATTCCATTGTTGTTGTGCTAGGCTGTATGTTGACTTCGTGGTTGTATATATATATATATATATATATATATATATATATATATATATACAACCACGAACTCATATGTAACCACGAACTCAACAGCATTGGCAGCTGCACCGCTTCACTCCGAGAAGCCACGTGTAGATCAAGAAGCAGAAACCGACACAATAGCTGAAAGCTCAACAGAGGTATTGCAGCACCTTAAACGTTGAAACAGACAAAGCAACTTGATTCCACAGAGGGAGTGACACAAAAAGGAAAAGCGAATGGCATCAGCGAGATGTTGCCGCGCGTACCTGCATAAAGGAACACGAGGGTGCGGTTCACGTAAGTCTGCGACTCTTGAGTTTCCCCTGGTTTCACCATTCGGATGACCGGCAGATTGTCGTCTTCCGACAAATCTCCGTACCAAACGACACACTGTTTGTCATCCCCCAAAACGGGGTCGTAACCTCTGTGCACTCCGCGAGCGATTTTCTCTGTTCCGCAGGCAAAGCATTCCATACCCCAGGAGATGTTCGTTTGTTTGTACTAGTATCGGCTGTCAAAGTCCGAGTATTGCAGAGCACATCAAGAACATGCAAACAAACAATACCCATGTCAAGAACGCACGCGAAGAAACAAATTCAATGCCGCAATAAGGCGATGAAAGTCGCGAAAGCAGCTCAAAAAACCAAAGAGACAAACAACCAAAATCGAAAAGCCAGAATGAAGAGGCCGCACGGGCACGAGTGTGAAGACACAGGATAAACGCAATAAAGAGGCTGAATATAGAGCAGAAATAAAGGACAAACCGAAAATCAGCGCATCACAGCGGCAAACGTAGGACAAAAATCCGCATCTGTGCAGGTCAAAATGCCCATGAGTATGTACGTCTCCTCAGGTTCCCTGGGTTGTCTCTGCACTTACGTAATATTTCGATTCTGGCTTCAGCAGTTTGCCAGAACTCCCGCGCCCTGGGGTGTACGTAGTGCTCCCAGGCCCTGCAAAGCGCCTCCACCTCCTCTGGACTCCGTGGCTCAAACGTCTCTTGAGAAGCGTAGCGGTCTGTGTACGCGCTGTCTCCCTGCAGCGAAATTGCCAAATCAAGAGAGGGGAAGAAGCAGACGGTGAAACAACTAACAGTGTGAAGGGAGATACGGTTACTGTGCGTGGGAAAAAAGAGAATGCAAAAAAATAAGAACGCAACTCACAACGTAACAATACAGCCCAATGAAGGAAATGAGGTTAGGTGTTATCCTTCTACCTCGGTATGGTCTGCAACGTGGTTTCGCCGTTCTAAGGCAGATCGAGCACTCGTAGGGAGCAACAGCAGTGTCGTGCGTGCTGTGTTCATTTTAAAGCTTTGTTTACCTCTGAGTTAGAATGAGAAGAGCTCTCTTGGGCCTGTGAATTTGCTCTCTTTTTCTTTTTCCGCCGGTCTTCCTCAGCGCTCCCGAAGCCAAAGAGGGCCGCGAAGGGCGTGTTGCTGCAAGCCCTGCAGCTCCACATTTCTGCTGCTGCAGTTCTACTGTTCGTTGCGTTAGTCTGCTTCACTTGTCTCGCAGTGCTGAACCAAGCTGAGGCCCTCGCAGCCCACCCACACAGCCCACGCGCAAAACTTCAGCAGGCGGAGAACACGAGCCGCGAGCAGAAGCAAAAGCGGCCTGTCTATACAACTGACCTCCTCAACACATCATAAACCTTTAAAAGAAAGAAAATACTCAAAAGCTCACTCACAATACAAACGCTATCTAGACAGGCCGAAAGACCCACCACATGCAGCAGGAGCAGTAGCAGCAGCGGCACATGCTGCTGCTGGTATTGCCGCTGATGCAACATTGGCAGCCCCCGAAGTTCCCCATAACTGAGCCTTATTTGTACTTCTCTCCCCTTCAGTTTCAGTCTGTGTTTATTTTAAAGTGGAAAAAAGTTAAAATGACTACTAAAGGACGTGCGTGCATCCCCGCACATGTTCTCCCCGCGCGCGTGTGGCGTGAGTGGCAAGTACAGGAACAGGGAATAAATTGCACGAAAAAATGAATAACTTCTCCAAAACGACAAACATATTAGGTAAAAATACAGGTATCTTCCATTATCGCTGCCCTCCGCCTCTTGTGTTCTCAGTTCGTGTTGTTGCCTCGTCGCGGCCAGTGGGGGAGGTTTATGTATGCATTTACCGTTGTTGATGTATTTTGCGGCCGATACAATTTATTTTTAAATACAAACATAAGTGTTTTGCTGAAGCCGGCTGCTTGACTAGCAACGACGAGCGGTTCCATCCTTTTGTTTCTGTCTGTCTGGTCTGACGTTTACGCCCGTGGACTTCAGAAGCGTTCACGTATTTAGGCCGTGTACGTCTTCCTTCTTTTTCCGATTCGTGGCAAATGATTATTTGTTTGCAGTGCTTTAGAAAGTTACGGACAGTTTACAGGGACCGTCATGCTGCCTAGGGTTCGTTGTGCTTGGGCAGAGGGAAGGGGAGGTTTACGTTGCTCGTGAGTGCTCCAAACACGGGTTCAGTGGAGCCAATTAGTTTAGGATGTTTAACGAACTAATGGAGAGGGAGAGGAGCAAACAAGGCAGCCCCGCTGTGAACAGAGCCAGGCACATGTGAACTTTAGTTCGCAAGTGCGGGCAGCAGTTCGATACTGTCTTAGCCACAGGAGTAGTCGTCAAAATGTCTCCCTGCCCCTATTTACGCCGCTTCTCCTGTCGCGCGTTCAACTAGAGCGGCGATTTGCTCCATTTTGCTGCGTTTTTCCTCAGTCAGTCTTCCTTCTTCGTCCTAGAGATGAATATAATTGAGTGCCCCTATTTCTGTTGAAACTGGGGGACCAACTCAGAGAAATTACCTTCAACGTTTGGTTCAGCATTGCTGTATATTGGCACTGATACTCCACGCGTACTTGTGCGCACGCTGTTTCATGCTTCGCTTGCAGCTGCTGCAGATGACATAATTGGAGAGTAGGTAACAATGTATATCTAAGTATATTTTATTCGTACTGTACCTCGCGGATACGGAATAGTTCGGTCTGCGATTCGATTCCTTCCCTGTTTTTGCATTCGCGTTGAATACTTCCAATGTTAGCACCCCAGAACCTCAGCTCACGCGTTTTCCGCTCCCTGGTCCTTAGCGAATTTTGCCTTCAGCCCTTCGAGATTCTGCTCAATTGATATACAATTAATGGCAATTAGGGTGTAGCAATGGAAGAGCCGGAAGAACAAGTTACCGTCTGGATTTCACTGTGTTCTTGTTCAAGGCTACGCAATTCAAGCTTTTGCGTTGACATCTCCTCTTGCAGTTGTTCAATGAACGCCTCATGCTGCCTTCTTTCAATTTCTCTTTCGTTTACTTGCGCCTGTAGTTTTTTAAAAGAAAAACTTTCAAATGTAGTGCGCTGAACTGCTTGCAATCGTGTGGCTTGTCCTCACCGCAAGCGCCGCCTGAAGGCAGCGGAGCTCTCTCAGGCGTGACTCAGCGATATCCCCCTGAAAGATGTCAGTTTAGGTCTATGATATGGAAAGACCGAAAAACCACGAAGGGGAGCGCCAAGCAAAACATGAGAAATACATTTTTAAGCTGAAGATCAACGCGGCTGCGCGATAGAACGAGAGTGTGCGTAATTTTCTTCTGCTCCGTCAAGATCGCCTCAACCGCTTCAATTAAACCTTTGAGTTCCTCTCCCTGTGGCATGTGGATATAAGTTTTTGGTTATGCTTAGGCGTTTCAGTTAGCCGGCTTTCTACTTATTTGTCATCACGTTTGCATATGGGCTTTGGAACTCACCGCGCCAGTGGCCTCATCCGCCTCCTTTTCAGCTTTTTGTAGCACTTCGAGACTCTCACTCAAAATTGTACCTTCGTTTTCTCGCAGAGCGGCCATTTCAGTTCGTTCCATGCGTGTCATTTCCTCGAGAAGGTATAGGCAGAGGCGAAGACAGTCGAATTTAGCAGATGCATGCTACGACGAATGAAACTGTGCTCACTAGCATCCCACGGAGCCCAACTGTCTTCTTATTTTCTCTATGCAGACTTTCAGTCACACTTGAGGTCTTCTGTTGCGCGGCGCGAAACTCAACAACGCATATTTCCCTTTCCTTCAGTTTTGCAAAAAACGCTTGTTCATTTTTAAGCATCTCCACCACCTTTTGTTTTCTGTGAGCCAACTCGGCGTCGCTGCAGCGCCGAACAACAGGCAAAAGGGGATGCACACGATGAAGAAGAACACGAGGAGACCGCGTGAGCAGAAGAAACGTACTGCTTCCGCAACTCCTTCATTCTCTCTATTGTGGAATACATTTCTTCTGTTGCTTTTTGCATTTCCTCCTTCAGCAGGCTCAAAGCCCTTTCTCGCTCCTGCATTGCAAGTTCTCTGCCATCCAAAAGCCTGGAACATTTTTCGTGTTTCTCCACCGCCTCCCTCTGTTTATAGATGTTAGGAGCGGGGTAAAAAAACAGTATTTAACCATTCAAATAACTCAAAAGAATTATACTTGCCTGTTCCTGTGCGGCGATTTGCACTTCGGCTGTCACCGCACTTTGAACGCGTGCCACTTGTGCCTAAAGTTCACAAATTGAAGTGCGTGTAACAACATGCCAGAAAAAGGCATTTGAGTTAGATTTGACTATCAGTGTCCAAAGAAAAATGCCAAAATACCTCAAGTGTGGCCTTCCTTGCACTGAGCTGTGTGTGTTCATCCCGCAGCTGTGCCATTTTCTGTGGCGTTCCTCTAGATAAGCAACAAGTAGCAATTGATACAGTAGGTTATGGTATTCACAGTTTTCATTTGTTCTTCTTCTTCCCTGCAGCGCTCGATCGACTCAAGGTGATGCGCATTATTTTTCTTGCTTTGTTCATATTCCCTTTTGGCGGAATCTACAGTCATACATATGAAAGACGACTGATCCACGACACGCAGGAGAAATGTCTCACCGAAAGCTTCCTGGCAGCTTTCTAAGACCGGAACGAGCTCTCCCTTTGTCCTGCCCAAAACGTCCAGCGCGCTTCTCAGTGCTTGCAGCTCCGCCAGAAGCCCCCGCGTCTGCTCCTCTCCATTCATTATGCTGCGCAGCAATGCCTCGACAGAGGTCCTGCGTGGCAGCGAGATAAAAAACGCTAACTGATTGAAAACAGAGCGAGCAGAACACACATTCTTTTGTGCGCTTCTTCCTGCGCCTGGCAGAACGAAACGTGGCGTTTCCGCAGTTCTTCAAAAGCTGGGATGAAAAAAGGAATGGGTGAACAAAACCCCTTATCAACCTTGTTCACCCAGAATTGGTGGTGCGTGCTGCTCCCACCTTCAGTGCTTTCATCAATTTGCTGAAAAGCTTTGTCCAGTTGTTGAGACAGAACAGAATTAGTTCCGTGCAGGTGTGCCGTTGCGACTTCAATCCTCTCTATGCTGGCAGTAGCATACAGGAAAGAAGTCTCTGCTGCTGCAATGCTTTCTTCAAGGTTCAATGCTTCATTTTCAATCAAAGTCTCGAGCGCTTTGCTCTCTTCGGATTCCGATTGGGCTCTGAACAGGGCAGAGGATGAATAAACTTACAAGCCGGTGTACATGCACACGAATTGTGTGCGTGCCCTACTTCGCTGCATTGTGTGCATCCGTTTTCAATGCTTTTCCAATGTCGTTGCGCAGCTTTCCGCAAAGTTCTATCTCTTCAGAGAGTTCCAGCGCACCCCGCCTGCCTTCCATCACTGCGAGAAAGAAACGAGCTAAGAAACACTTGCGTTTTGACAACCCGCTTCTTTTTCTGATACACGAAATAACTATTCGTAAATGTTGAACATCAAACGATTCCGTCCTAGCCTTGTTCCTGAGCGCCTATGCACAACTCAATCAAACTTGCAATGAATTTGCCCAAGCTGTCCATACACCCCATGGGCATGCAAGCTGCATACCAGCAACTTGTAGCTAAGCATAGGGGGCTGCGAGTAGGAAACTCCCTGCAAGTATGTGCTTGCAAAAAACATTAGAGCGTAGGCAGACGCCAACAAACTAAAAAGGTCAGGAGCGCAGCACGTCGCACATAAGTGGCTTTTGCGGATGGAGGGCTTATCGATGGTCTTCTTCTGCGCGGTGCTGCCTTCCCTTCAGCGGAAACAGGGGCAAAAACAGCGCAGGTAAAACAACCAAACGGTGGGCTTCGTTCTTAGTGGACAGGTTTTACGTGTACTGAGCAACTGCAGCTGCAGAAAGAGCAGCAGTAGCTGCAGCAAGAGCAGCGGCTGCTGCAGCAGCAACGCAGCGATTCAGATGCGCTTCGAGTCGCTGCCAGCGGATAACTTGAGAGGCCTGTGGGAACTTCTTGCCGGCGAGTCGCGGCGCGAAGGCCTCTTCGCTGAGGGTCTGCCCCCCCCTCTTCCCCCGTCTATATCCCCTCGACTTCGGGGGGATCCGAAAGAAGCACTGCTCTCTGGGTACCGCCTCCTTTCTCTGTCTCTGAAAGACCCAGAATGGGCTTCGTACCTGTCCCGATGACCAAACCGCTCCCACTTGCCATCTCGTGAGGAAGATGAATAGTGCAGAGGGCTCTCCCGGTAGTCCCCACGGCGCGGATTTGAAGGGTCACGACCTTCATCCCGCCCTCCCCGATGTCCATCTGGCAGAGGAACACACAACTTCAGAAGGAAGCAATTAGTAAGCGTAAACAAAAAGATGGGCGGTACGTATTTCAACGTGCTGTGCCACTTTGCCGGCAAAACGCTGGACAAGCAAGCAGACAGCCAGTCACTGACGTCAATCCAGAGAAGCAAACAACTGTCTGCATGGGAACAGCTGTGCATTTGTACGCTTTTGGAAGGCAATGTAAGCAAGTCTGAGCACAAACATCCAGCTTCGTACTTCGATAGCTGTCGGCAGCTCTGGTCCTGTGGCGAGCTTCCCGTGAGTCCTGCAGAGACTCCCGCAGGCCCCTCTCCTCTTTAGCAGACCGCCTGTCAGCGGAGGGCACCTCACGGTTCTCAAGTCTGTGGTTGTTAAATCCCTCTCGAGAGCTCCCTGATGCGGGGTGGAGCGCCTCCGGAACTGCTCAACGAAAAGCAAACAAGCACAGCGCGACACAACCGCTGCTTTCTGCGCTGCATATATATGGGCTCAAAATTCTAGGCTATATACACAGTGAGGGCTCCATGTTGTGCGTGCACAGCATACAAAATGCGGCCTGTCGCTGATAAGCAATGCCCTTTCATTTTACGCACCACCTGTTTGTCTCTGTTGCGCCATCTCCTCCTCCCCCCTAGTGTCTGATTCTCTTGCAGCTGTTCTTTCTTCTTTAGTCTCTTGCTTCTCGCCTTGATCATGGGAGTCAAGTTGCATCTCCACCTCTTCCGTTTTATCCGTCGCGACCTGTGTTGCACCGCTCGATCGTGCCCCCGCTGCTGTTGTTCCCGCTGCAACTGCTCCTGATGCTGCAGTGGTCACTCCTTCTGCTGTTTGTTCGGTTCCAGCGGCAGCTGGGGGTGGCGCTGTTGCTGCAAGAGAGTTGTCTTCCGATTTATCTGTCTTCGTGTCTGTCGTGGGCTCCAGCTTGGGTGGCGGTGGGGTCCTAGTCTCCGCCAGTTTCGTGTACTTCGGAGGGGCCCTCTTGTAAAGGGAAAGAATGCGGGTGCACACCTTGAGAACATCCTCCCATGTAACGTCAAAGAGTTCGTACCATCCAGTCTCCTTCGCCAAATGGATATTAAGGTCACAAGCAGCCAAAAATATACTCCCCACTGCCACTACTGCAGGCTGTACTTCGCAGCACAACGTCGTCCGCATACTGCAGAAAAACCAAACCATAAACTCCACCGAAATACAACGAAAAGCACAAGCGTGATGAAGGCCATGCCTCTAAAAAACAACCGCTGTCGCCACATCGTACCAGAAGCCGCAGGGATACCAGCAGTAAAAGCAGCAGCAGCAACTGACCTGTCGTTAAGGTAACCCCATGCGATCTGAGACAATCTGTTTGTTGGTATATAGTCTCCTTTACACAGTGCGTGTATATATTGCAGGATGTAGCGGTGCGGGTGCACTAGAGTCTGGGAGACCATAAACCCTAATTCCCTCAAGATGTATCGCTCGCAACGAAAAGTCTCCGCCCGTATCATTTCAAATTCCTGCAGAAGCTCACCCCGAACAAAAATTGCACCCATATAGAACTAAGACTACAAGCACAACACAGCGCCAGCATACAGACCCAACTATCGAACAAGCTTCAGCAGCAGTGACAGCAGCGGGAACCATACTATTAGCAACAACACCGGCACCACCAAGCACGAGCAGCAGCGAAAGCATCAACTGAATCAGTAAACAAAAGCAGCAAAGGAAGCAGGAGGCACAGTTGCAGCGGCACACGCAGCAACAGCTGTTGGCGAACCGGAGAGTCGTGATCGATGAGAAGCTGGTCCAGATTGTCCTGTGTGATTTGAACATTTGCGTCCTCTGCTTTTGCAAGGAGTTGTACAATATCAATCAAACTTCTCACTCGCCGCGGATCCTCTTCCAGTTTGCAGGCGAGCAGCAGAGATGAAGTGGCTACCAGCTGTAGCAGCAGCAACAGCAGCACAGATTAACAGACAGCGAAGAGCTATAGATGCACGGGATAAAACACGCCATAGAAACAAATAACCTTAATTCGTTACGTACAAATTACCAGAAAACATTTCTGCATCCCCTTTCACATGTGGCAGGTGACGGGGCAAGCAAGACATGTCAGGAGCGCCAGCAGCAGTGTTATAAACCCTACGTGCGCCTGCTGCTCCGATTTGCGGCATGCACTTGACACAGTCGCTGCTGCTGGAAGAATAAATCTAAAATTAATGTACAACCACGATGCAAAGTAGAATAGGGGGAAGAGGAACCGGGGGGCGACACAGGAGCAAAAATATAGTGCTAGACGTTCACTAGAGAGCCTAGCAGCCAATACACCTCAACCCATTGCCGTGTCAATCATCTTCAAAAGATATGAGATGCTTAGTTAATTACAGGTAACAGCAACATCAGCACCGGCATCAGCATCGGTAGTCCAACAACCCCACTGACCCTGACGTCGAACTTCTTGAGGCTCTTTCTGTAGTAGAAGCGATGAAGAATTGTTTGTGCACTGGCCACTGTGACTGCTTCCAGGCGCAACAGAACCCCGGCCCTCTGGATGAGGTGACAGCCATAAATGCGCTGAGATATTTCCAACTCCCGAGACAAACCGTCGCGGATCGAAGGAGTCCGCTGCTGCAGCTTCCGTGGCACCAATACAATTTGCGTTGCCATCCTCGAAAAATTCACCGCAGCAACATCAGCAACGGCTGCAAAGGCTGCAGGCGCAGGGCGGCCCGCAACACCAGGAGTAGCTACTGCAGCAGCCTGCGAGATACAGCGCCGGCAAAAGCAGCAGCAGCAGCCGCAGCAGCAGCCGAGGCTGCTCCCTCCAGATGCGCGGACGTCTCCTTTCAGATGCCAGCGTCAGGAAGAGGAGGCAAAAGCAATAACTGTCGAAATAAAGACACAAGGCGACAACTGCACGACACGAACGAATCTGAACAACACAGGACTGGGAGGCGTAGACTCCAAGTAATGCAGGGGGTTGCAGTCTGACAAAAATGAAAAAAAAGGGAAGAGAGTGTCTCAAAGGCAAAATCTATGACAAGCACAGGAGAGCGAAAAGTGGAATACAGAGGCTCTCGCCTATATTCAATGGGGGCAAACACGACGAGGGCGTTGAGTATTCATACGCCCCAACTTTGTTTGCAGGCTGTAACGATATAAAGTGGGGTTGACGGTACAATAAGAAACAAATAAGTCGACTCTCTTTACTAGTTGCCTCATCGCTCACAAGCCACACAGGCATGTTCTGCATGCGCGCATGCAACTTCCCAAGCGAAGGGGGCTTGCTCCGGCCCAGAGGCAACAAAGGCAGAGGATAAAAGTACTTTTCGCCAATAAATATGGCTTTTACTTCACAGGGACGTGAGCTGCTGCTGGAACTCTTTCTGCTGCTGCTGCTGCTGCAGCAGCCCCAGCAACTGCAATGGTGCTGTTGCCTCCTTGAGTCAACGGTTTATTTCACCGTACGTAGGGCCGAAGAGTGAAGTACAATATGCACCCTTTCTGCAGCATCTATCCAAAAAGCTACAGCTGAAACACGATCTGGCCTCGTAACGCTCGCGCTCCTCGGGGTCCCGGTTGCACTAGCGTCTGTTCAAGGGAGCTGTTTGCGTGCCGTCTGGGTACGCCAGCTAGCGGGGGCCAAGCATTTGCTTACTAGTTGCCTTCTGTGTTTCTACACTTTTTGGAAAGGCGCTAAGGCTCTTAGGACACTCGTTAGCGTCGCCTGGGTCATAGTATATCTGATTTGTCCTTGCGGAGTTGGTGTGCGTATTCCTGCTTGCGGGAAGGTTGGCCACTGAGGGCGAAGTAGGTGGTCAGCTACTGTTTATAGTGTTGGCGTATGCAGCAATATGGTTTGATTGTGCGTGCATGTTGCAGCTTGGCTTGCTGCGGGGTGCATTGCAACTCACGGCATGAAGCCTCCGGATAAGGCCGAGGACTCTCGGTACAGAATCTGTAAACGGTCTGAGGGCGTATCAGGCATTTTACAGGCGTATCCTATGTCTGCACATGCAGCAAAGGAGGACCGGTTCTCCTTGGATGTTTCCTTGCAGTGGTTGTTGTAGCAAGGCGTGGTGCAGCTCATCCTTCCCAGGATGTCTGGAGACTGGAGGGGAAATCAATGCTTCTTGTAAACTCATATCTTAAGTATTTGACTCTATCGCTAAGTAGCACGGCCCAAGATCAGAGCTCAGTCTCAAGCTAAAAGCTACAAGCTTTCGTATACCCTTATATTCTTATATCGGTTCACTTCAAAGTAAAGCTGCACTTTACAGTGGTTCTCTCCCAGCCTCAACACACTCAGCACCGGCAAGTCAGGCTACCGAGGCTGCAGGAAATAGAAAGGCCGCCTGCACGGTTTGGGACATAAGTTCTCCATTAAAAGCGGGCATACTGGGGACTTAAGAGCCCACTGCATCGTGACTGCATTGGGCAGTTATATCAGAAAGGGATACCTCCTGGATGATTCTCACTATATTCCCCGTTGTGAACGGCTTGAGACAAGTAGGAGCTTGAGCATGCGCAGCCACTAACACGGGGCAGTCGACATACTCACTAAGCAACAGTATAACTTTTCATGGACGCGACGTAAAAACTCCAGAATGTCGTGGAATACTACTGTGTGTCTCTAAAGATGCACTCCTGACGTCCATTGTGCAACTTTTGGGCGCCCATAGGAATATGCAGTAGAATGGCTAGGCTCTCGCCCTCCACGTTCACCATCGTACTTCCTGTAGTTTAGCAAAACTCTTTAGTGCTCTTCGTCTGTAGCAGCTGCCAAACAAAGGATGACGGCGGGCTAAACGACCATTCTTGGTAATTAGCTGTAATGAAGGGGTACGCGCCCTGATGAGCGGGCGCTGAGTTGCGTAATATGCTACAGAAGAAATCCTTTTTAAGGGACTTGCATTCGTGTTTGGCTGGTTTCAAGCGCGAGATGCCTCCCACTGAGAGCTACACGTGAATGTCGCACACCTTCTAAGAAAACGGAAAGCTCACACGCAACGCGTCGAAAAATTGAGCATCACTGTTGACAGCACAGCCCACGCTCTTCAGCGCCAAGAGAAGCGACGTATGTGTTTCTCCCAGCTGCTGGCGCCTAAGCCAAACACCAAAAGGTGGATATCTCATATTAGGGTATTTTATACGCAGGCCAGAGCCGGATTAGGACCAATACGAACGG